TTGGGAAGATGTATTTTTCATTTTAAGATGTTATGTATTTTTAATAAGCGTAGACTTATTATCTTAGGTGAATTAAATAAACATCTCACAATTTTAATGTCTAATCTGGTCAATGTCGATAGACATAACCTATATAAACAAAAACTCTTTGGGGTCCTCAACAATCTAAGAATGTTAAGAGGTCTTCAGACGAACACTTGAGAACCACTACTCTTAGTAAAGAGAGGGCTCAGGGGAGAGCATGCTTTGGTTGTGAAATGGCACAGGAAAGGTATGACATTTGAGCACAAATTTTGAAGAACATGAGGATAAAGCAAGAGTCCTGAAATCCTAAGCAGTCTGGTGCTGCTGGAGAATGAAGTGTAAGAGGCAAGGTGATCAGAGATGAGCCCAGAGAGAAGATAAGCCATTTCAGAGACTCCAATACTGTGCTAAGAGCTTGGACTTTATTCTATAAGCCCTGGAGAGCCAGCTCGGTGTTTTAAGCAATAAAGTGTTATGGTCAGACACTGGTAGTAGCACCAGCTAAGACAAATACAGGGAAGCCTGGCTGGCTCAGGGGGTAGAGAATGCAACCACTGATCTTAGGGTTAAGAGCTTGAGCCCCATGTTTGGCATAGAGTTTACTTTAAAAAAATAAAAAGAAGAAAAAAACTAATACAGGAAGAAGAGCAGATTTCCTGGGAAAATGATGATTTCTGTTTTGGACATGCCAGGTTTGAAGTCCCTGTGCAGTAGAGGTATCCCAATCACCATTTCCGTATATTGGTGAGAGCTAAGCAGAAATGTCTGGGCTTGCAGATATAGATGGGGGAGCGATTAGCATATAGACAATGATTGAACCTATGAAATACAGGAGGACATATAGCCAACATAGTGGCTAAGGGCCTGTGTTTTGAAATGAGCCGGATTTCGGGGACATTCCAGCTCCACCTTTCATGAACTGTCTTCCTGGACTTTACCTTTGTATGTCTTGGTTTTCTCATTGGTAAGTGAGAATAAGAATACCTACATCACAGGGTTCTTGGGCAGATCCAAGAAGTCACGTTCCAGTAAAATGCTTAACTCAATGACTAGGACTCAGTAACATTGCATAAATAGTAACTTCTTTTATTAGCAGCATCATGAAAACCATGGGCGACCAGATATTTAAACCAAAAATCTGAAAAATTATAGACATGATATACATGATGAGGGAAGGCAGGGTAGAGAGTTCCAAACATGTGAGAGGCCTAAGGGTATTTAAGAGCATGGGCAGTTTCCCAGACTAAAAAGCCAACTCGTCAGAACAAGAGTGAGCATGGTGTAAGATACAGGTAATGAGGTAGGGCAATGCCAGATCAGGGCCTAGCAGGCCATGATACAGATTTTAACTTTGATTCTAAGAGTGCTAGAAACCACTGGAGGATTTTCAGGAGGGCGACTTTGTAATTGTATTTCTGAAAAATAATTCCTGGCCATTACATGAAAGGTGAGTGGGTGGAGGGGGAGAAACAGAGGTCAGGAGGTACGCTAGGAAGCTTCAGAAGTAGCTTAGGTTAAGACACGGACCAGAGTAGTACTAGAGGAGATGGAGAGAAGTGGATAGATATAACAGATTTTGTTTGAGATTTTTTATTATTTTTTTAATATTTTGTTTATACAAGAGAGACACAGAGAGAGAGAGGCAGAGACAGGTAGAGGGAGAAGCAGGCTCCCCGTGGGGAGCCCGATGTGGGATTCGATCCCAGGACCCTGGGATCAGGACCTGAGCCAAAGACAGATGCTCAACTACTGAGCGAGCCAGGTACTCCAAGGTTTTTTATTTTTAATTTTTAAAAAAGATTTTATTTATTTATTCATGAGAGACACACAGAGAGAGAGAGAGAGAAAGGCAGAGACAGAAGCATGGAGCCAGACGTGGAGGGAGCCATGAGGGAGCCAGACGTGGGACTTGATTCCAGATGTCCAGGATCATGCCCTGGGCCAAAGGCGGCACTAAACCGCTGAGCCACCCAGGTTGCCCGATTTTTTATTTTTAAAGTAATCTCCATGCCCATCATGGGCCTGAAATGCACAACGCTGACATCAAGAGTCACAGCTCTACCCAGTGAGCCAGCCAGGCACCCCCTGTTACAGACATTCAGAAGACAAACTGAAAAGAACTCAGGCAAGAGTCTCAGATGGGACACCTGGATGGATAGGTGTTCTGTTTATTGAGAGATAAATTTGGTAAAGAAATCATAGAGAAACACATGGAAGTGAAGGAGAGCAAAAAAAATAGTAGCTAGAGAAGTTGGCAGGACCAAATGAAGGCATTTTAAGAGTGCTAAGAGAGATTTATAAATGAACAGATTTACAGACTTCTCTACTGTTGAACTGCCCCAGAGCTTAGATCATGGTCTTTATTTACCCTTATTTCTTCTTATATTTTTTATTTTTAATTAATCTTTATACTCACTGTTGAGCTCAAATCCACACCCCTGAGATTAGGAGCCCCCTGAGTCAGCCAGATACCCCTACCTTATATCATCCACCATCATGGTTTGAAACGTGCTTAATCCTCAAACAACATAGGTTTGAACTGCAGTCCCATTTTTTTTTAAATGCAGTGCAGTACTATAAATGTATTTTTTCTTCCTTTTGATTTTTTAAAGATTTTATTTATTTATTCATGAGAGACACAGAGAGGCAGAGACATAGGCAGAGCGAGAAGCAGGCTCCATGCAGGGAGTCCAGAACTCCAGGATCATGCCCTGAGCTGAAGGGAGGAGCTAAACCACTGAGCCACCCAGGCGTCCCTCCTTTTGATTTTCTTGGTAACATTTTTTCTCGATTTTATTTATATTGTAAAAATACTATATTGATACATATAACATATGTTAATTGACTATGTTATTGGTAAGGCTTCTGGTCAAAGTAGTCTACTAATAATTAAGTTAGGGGAGTCAAAAGTTATACATGAAATACATGGATTTTTGCATGTACAGAGGGGTCCATGCTCCTAATCTCAGAATTGTTCAAGGGTCAAATATATACCTATATTCTGACAACTTCCAAATTTATAGCTCCTCCTCTTCAGAACTCCGGGTTAATATGTCCAACTTGTTATCTGAATCTTGTTTGGTTATCCAAAATTGAAGTCCTATTCTTTTTTTCAAGATTTTCATCTATTTATTCATGAGAGACACAGAAAGAGGCAGAGACACAGGCAGAGGAAGAAGCAGGTTCCCCACGGGGAGCCTGATGTGGGACTTGATCCAGGACTCCAGGATCACATCCCAAGCGAAAGGCAGATGCTCAACCACTGAGCCACTCAGGCATCCCTGAAGTCCTATTCTTAACCCCAAACCTGTTCCTTCCGTACTTTTCCCTATCCCAGTTGATAACAGTGCCATCTTCAACTTGGTCAGACTTAAAGCCTTGGAGACATTTTGACTCCTTTTCTTACACACCCTACATTTTATTGACTCTACGTCCAAAACACATCCAGAATCTGACCACATCACGTTACCTCTACTGCTACCACTGTAGTCCAAATCACCATCATTTCTTTCCTGGTTATTGCAAGAGCTTTTGTCCTCTCCCACAGTCTACCCTCAGCGTGATTCTCCTGATATATTAGTCAGATCATGTCCCCTCACTGCTTACAATGGGGCAATGGTTCTCCATTTCAGTCCACAAATGCCAAAGTCCATAAGGTGTACAGAGCCCTACACAATCTCATTCCATTATTTCTGACCTTCTCTCTTACTACTCTTCCCTTCACTTACTCTGTCCAGTCACATCTGGCTTCCTTGCTGGTCCTCTTATTGCTCAGGCACACTTCAGCCTTGGGGCCGCTCATTGGCTGATGTCTATCTCCACTGTTCTTGCCAGACATTGGTATTGCCAACTCCCTCACCTAAAGTCTTTGCTCTAATATCAACTTTGTCCATGGAGCCTACACTGACCATATTGTTTCATATTGCAATGTGCCCCTATTCCCACTTCCTGATTCCTCTTACCTTGTTCTTTTACTTTTCCATAGTACACATTATCATCTTACATACTATACACTCGTTAGTGTATCTATTGTTTAGCGTCTAATACCGGCTATCACTGCCACCCTAGCAGAACGTAAGCTCCTCAAAGGCAATAATGTCGATCTGGCTTTTTTCCCTGAGGTAGTCCGATGTATGACAGTACCTGGCATAAAGCAGGTGCTCAATAAATATTTGCATGAATGTACTGAAAAAAGGAAAGCCAGAAAAAGGGGAAGTTGAAGCTGTGAAAGGGATAATAAGCCAAACTTATCTAAAATACAAATGGCGGTGCGCCTGGGTGGCTCAGCGGCTGAGTGTCTGCCTTTGGTTCAGGACATGATCCCAGGATCGAGTCCCACATCAGGCTCCCTGCGGGGAGCCTGCTTCTCCCTTTGCCTGTTTCTCTGCCTCTCTCTTCGTGTCTCTCATGAATAAATAAAATCTTTAAAATAAACTAAACAATCAAAATACAAATGGGACCAAACACACATATGTGGGATTATATATACTGCTAGAATGGCCCTTCTCAATACCACATCCTTTTTTGGGGGACGAGGGTTGTTGATTTCTATTCGCAATCTCTCTTTCAACACATTTTTTTTTTCAATACCACATCCTAACGACACCATTTGGAGCTCTTTCTAGTTCGGTCCCCCATTCCCTGTGTCCCCGGGGGCCCCTACACAGCACAGACCATTTTAATCATTCCCGAACCTCGAGTGTCCACCAGCGAAGTTCCCGACACATAGTACGTGCTCCGAAGAGGTTGCTGGGTAAGTTAACCAATGTTTCTGCATCCCCAACTACCTCAGAGCTCGTCGAGAGAACGCTCCGAGAGGCATTGCCTCCAGCAGCCCTCTCCACGCACGCCTCCCTCTTCGCAACCCGAACGCACGCCGAGGCGCAGGATTTATTACGTAATAGGCCAGCGCCGGGGGCCGGAGAGAAGAGGCGGATTGAGCAAACTCCGGGCCACGTGACGAGACTGGGCGGGGCATCAAAGTTCATATCCCAGAGTCCTTTGGTCTTCCTTCCTTTCTGTCCTTTTCCGGTGTTCAAGATGTCGAAGCGAGGTGAGGTTTTGAGTCTTGGGTATCCTTCGCCATCTGTCGCGAGGTGACTGCTGGCCTCGCCCGGAGCGGCGGCCATGGGCAGCTGAGGCACTTTGCTCTCCTCCGGGGCGGAGAGGGAGAGGAGGGCACCGTGAGAGCCCTGGAACGGCCCCCGAAAGCGGCGGGGGGGTAGGTGGGTGGCTGGAGAGTTGAGTTGGCAGGATCCGGACAGGACTTTAGGCCAAACCCCGCGGGGTCCTTCCCCTGCGCCTGGCGCTCCTCCGGTAATGCTACTGAAGTGGGATGGTTTAGGCCCCACGGTAGACGACTGCTGCCTTCGGCGAGAGCTACGTGGTGCAAAAGTTGGAGCGAGGATTGAGAGGCTCAGGCCCCTTCATCATAACGTAGGGGTGGTAACAGGAATTGGCTGTTTGCTATGGGGAGGGGTAGGCGTAGTCCCAGAGAGAGGCAATTGAGTATACCGTTGCCCAAAGCATGTGCAAATGAATTTATTTCTTGAGAGTGGGGGGGGGGATTCCTTCCGAACCATGAGTAGACAAGTGACCCCTATGCTGTTTTTCTTCTACCCGCAGGACGTGGTGGGTCCTCCGGTGCAAAATTCCGGATTTCCCTGGGTCTTCCGGTAGGAGCTGTCATCAATTGTGCTGACAACACAGGTGAGGCCTTCAGCTGCACTGTGCCAAACTCCCCCTTTTAAAAGCACTCGGTGGGCCTTGACTGATGACCCACTGAGCCGTCAAGAAAGGGTAGAGTAAAAACACTGCTTTTGGGTGAAGCAGCAGCATATTGTGTTGTTTTGCTTCAATCGGTGGTGTGACAAGGTGTACCACCTTGGTTGGGCGTCGGGACTCACTTGGGAGTGTGAGCAGAGGGATAGGCTTTGGAAGTGCAGGAGAAGCATTATACTGGCCAAAGAACAATCACTTTTGTTTACATTCTCTAGGAGCCAAAAATCTGTATATTATCTCTGTGAAGGGGATTAAGGGACGATTGAACAGACTTCCTGCTGCTGGTGTGGGGGACATGGTGATGGCCACAGTGAAGAAAGGCAAACCAGAGCTCAGGAAGAAGGGTGAGTAGAGACACTGAATCCTCGTTGCTTGGTGGACAGGTGAAGGACTTTTCCCTTTATTGGAAAATGGAATAATTTTACCATTCTAAAGGTTTCTTAAACCTTGATTTTCTTTGAGAGGCAGTGTGAGATAAATACCTGGAATTGACGTTCTGCCCCTGCTGTCTTAGAGACTACTCTCCGCTACCTGGTCTTGCTGTATTTGTTTTTTTGTTGTTGTTTTTAAGTAATCTCTGCCCAGTGAGGGGCTTGAACTTCCTACCCTGAAATCAAGAGTCACCCACTATACTGGCTGAGGCAGCCAGGCACCCCATTGTTCTATTTGTTCTTGCCCTCTTAACTCCTTAAATATTTTTGCCACATTGAAGTCTGGGCCCATCTTTTAAAAATGTAAATCATGGGGCACCTGGATGGCTCATTCGGTGGAGCATGGTTCATTGCTCATTGGTTGGCTATAAATGAATATGGTGGTATTTAGTAAATTTTTAAGATTTTATTTATTTATTCATGATAGACTAGAGAGAGGCAGAGGCAGAGGGAGAAGCAGGCTCCATGCTAGGAGCCTGACACGGGACTCGATCTCGGGACTCCAGGATCGCGCCCTGCGCCAAAGGCAGGCACCAAACCAACATGGGGCTCGAACTCACAATCCGAAGATTAAGAGTCCCACACACTACTGACTGAGCCAGCCAGGCCCCCTAGTAAATGTATTTTTTATTGATCATTTGGTAGATGTTTAGAGTTGGAGGAGGTGTCAGGCAAGTTTCCTTTTTCTGGAACAACTGATTTGAAAGAGAATAATATTTGCATAGTTTCTCAAGTGGTTGTGAGATTCGGGTAATAAGCTGAGAATGTAGAGCATTTGGCCTATGACCTAACAATTTGTAAGTAGAGAATAACATATGCCTCCTGCGTTAGGACAGGTTCTTTATATAGATGAGACTTTTTAAAAAATATTTTATTTATTTATTCATTCATTCATGAGAGACCCACAGAGAGAGAGGCAGGCTCCATGCAGGGAGCCCATCGTGGGACTCCAGGATCATGCCCTGGGCTGAAGGCGGTGCTAAACCGCTGAGCCACCTGGGCTGCCCTATATAGATGAGATTTACTCAAAATTGTGACTTGTCAAAGGTTTAGCATAGTTGCTTCTAAATCTCTTCTGGTAGAAACTATAATAGGGAACTGCTCATTGCTTAATTCCCCTAGGAGTAGGAGTTGGGTGGGAGAGGGTTTCAGAGCACTTCTGACTTGTAATGTTTTGTCTGGCTTTTGAGCTCATGATACTCCATGCACTTAACTTCAGCTCCTGAACTTTGCTCTTGTACCTGCTTAGTCTATCTCTGCCCTGGGATATCTTGCTTTTCTGAGAAGTCCTGGCCATCTCTTGATGTACAGTACGAATACGATGGGTTGTGACCACATACTGCAGTTATTCCTTTTAGGCCTGTACAAGCAGCCCTCCCACCCCCTGGTTTCTTTTTTTTTTTTTTTTAATAAATTTTTATTTATTTATGATAGTCACAGATAGAGAGGCAGAGACACAAGCAGAGGGAGAAGCAGGCTCCATGCACCGGGAGCCCAACGTGGGATTTGATCCCGGGTCTCCAGGATTGCGCCCTGGGTCAAAGGCAGGCGCCAAACCGCTGCGCCACCCAGGGATCCCCACCCCCTGGTTTCTTAGCCTTTGGGTTTGAAGTCTTTGCTCACCTTGAATACCTGCTTGATGGCTTGGAGTTGTGATTATTGATTAATCAATGTGTAGATTGGGATCTGCATGCAACTGGACAGGCTTTCCTTTTAGAACACTTGCTGGGTCTGCTCTGTGGCCTGGGAAGCTGTCAGAGAAGGGCAGAGCAGTCCATTGTCACTGTTGATGAGATGGCAGCGGGATGTGTTGTTGGTCTCAATCAGATTGTTGTGGGACAGACAAGAGGACACTTAAATGGCTTTAAAAATAGTGAATTGCCAGCACTGTTAATCTTACTGGTCCTTGCTTCTGCTAAATGAATAGATCCTTTCACCTTGGCCTTCCATGTAACAGAAGTGTGGAAAGGGGTAGTTCTGGAGGTCCAGAGTCCTGGATTTGTGTGTGGCTATGAGTAGATGAGAGTCCAATAGAGGAGGGTCTCAGTAAATACTAGTTATCTTTCAATGTGTATTTCATTGTTAAAAACCTAATCCAGAGGTAGGGGATTCTGGCTGGCTCGGTCAATGGAGAATACAACTTAATCTCCAGTTTAGGGGTTCGAGCCCCACATTGAGTGCAGAGATTTAAGAAAGAGAAAACCTTATCAGGGGCTAATCTTACGGATAGTGAAAGTATTAGCCTCAAGGATAGCCAGGATCTGTGTCCTGTATTTGCAGTGTCTGATCTTGAATGTGGAAATGTAATTATTATCCCTATTTTACAAGAGGAAAACTTGAACCTCAGAAGATAAGTAACTTGTTCAAAAGTCTCTAAGCTAGTGACAGTCAAGGTTTGCATGCAGGTGATGTCTGTCTTCGGTACTTTCTTTTTTTTCTCACTTTTATTTATTCATGAGAGACACAGAGGCAGAAACATAGGCAGAGGGAGAAGCAGGCTCCCTGTGAGGAGCCTGATGTGGGACTTGATCCCAGGACGTCCCTGTCTTCAGTACTTCCGTGCAGTAGGTGAGGGTTTGGGCAAGTGTTCACTTTAGTGCAGGTAGGTTTTTTTAAGTTACTTAAGACCTTGGAAAACAGTTCCTCAAAAAGTTAAACACAGTTAAGTACATAGGAAGTGGAAGTTAAATTTCAGTTATCCAACTTTCAGACTTCCAAGAGATGATCACATAATATTTTGTTGTATGTTCTTTCTCTTTATTTTAAAGATTGTATTTATACGGGGCACCTGGGTGGCTCAGTGGTTGGATATCTGCCTTTGGCTCTGGTCATGATCCTGGGGTCCTGGAATCAAGTCCCGCATCAAGCTCCCTGTGAGAGGAGCCTGCTTCTCCCTTTGCCTAGGTCCCTATCTCTCTGTCTCTCTCATGAATAAATAAATAGTCTTTAAAAAAAAAAAGATTTTATTTATTTATTTGAGAGACAGCATGAGCAGAAGGAAGGGCAGAGGGAGAAAGTCTCTCCACTGAGCAGGGAGCTTGATGGAGGACTCAGTCCCAGGACGCTGAGATCAGGACCTGATTGCAAAGTAGGTGCTTAATCAACTGAGCCACCCAGGTGCCCCATCCTTTCTTTCTGACTTATTTGCAGAAAATTAGCTTGTAAACTTCTTAAATGGGACCATGGCCTTCCTGTAACCTGTTTTTTTCTTGCTTCACAGAAGATAGGTCCTATATGTGAAAAATTACAGATAGGTGTAAATTTTTGTTGTTGTTTATTAGAGGGCATGAGTGAGGGGAGGGGGATGGAGCCTGACACGGGACTTGATCCCAGGACCCCAGCCTGATGACCTGAGCCGAAGGCAGATGACTAATTGACTGAGCCACCCAGGCAGCCCCTAAGTTTTTGCTCTATAAAAAAAAAAAAAAAAAAAAACACATTTGCCGGGCAATTAGGCATTTGAAATAGAGTGTGGTCAAGATCCTGGATGTATTGCTAGGATTCAAGGAGTATCTGTATGTATATGCACACTAGAAATTACAGGGCTTCTTTGGTTAAATTTGTGTGAATGAACTTCTATTTGTAAAATCTAACACTGTACATACTCAGTCCTAACCCTTGAAAGCAGTAGTTTTTAGATCAAGGTATGTACTTTCCTGGAGGTTTTAATACATACTGGGATGGAATATTGCCTAATGAGTTAATAGCTTGACCTCTGCTTACTCAGTCCAAAAGGGGGTCCCATTTTGTGATAAGATTGTAACAGTATCCACCTGTTTGTGAAGTGGGACCAAGTATTGAGGTGCTCAGCAAGTTTCCTGCTAGTGTGTTGCTAATCTTTCTAAAAGAGTACAGATTTATACTTGCAAGAAATGCAGGCAGTTTTGACTTGGAATAAGGTCTTTCCTTAAGTCCTTAAGGGTTGATTGGTATTTGCAGTATCCCACACTTGCTTTGAGAAATGAAAAGTGAATGATGAGTATATATTCTGTCCAAGTGGGAAATGTTGGAGAACTAAGTGAGATGTAAACTACTTTCTTGTGGTGGCTCTGGGACTTGACAGGTTAATGACTGCTCTCCTGTTTTCCCTCTTAGTACATCCAGCAGTGGTGATTCGACAACGAAAATCATACCGGAGAAAAGATGGTGTGTTTCTCTATTTTGAGGATAACGCGGGGGTCATAGTAAATAATAAAGGTGAAATGAAAGGTAAGAAAGAAATCAAAGTGTTGCCTAGGTCTTTGAGAGCAGTTGACTTATTAACCTTAGGGTCTGAGCTTATCTGTCACTTCATTCTTTTTTTATGTAGGTTCTGCTATTACAGGACCAGTCGCAAAGGAGTGTGCAGACTTGTGGCCCAGGATTGCTTCCAATGCTGGCAGCATTGCATGATTCTTTGGTGTATTTGTTTTAAAAAAAATAAAAATTATTTGTTCTCAATGTTTGCCTTCTTGTTTTCTACATGTCATTCTTCTTCTTTTTTTTTTTACATGTCATTCTTCTTGAACACCCCCTAACCCTTGCTTTTTGTAAAATGAAGTTACTCAGTGCAGTACTTGCACTTTGTGACTTTACAGAAACTTTTGGACTATTCAGTTTTTGCTATAAAATTTAGTTTTTTTTTTGTTTGTTTGGAGTCCTTAAAGTAAATTGCAGATAGTAAATACTGTTTAATGAGAGGTCTTTTTTTTTTTTTTTTTAAGATTTTATTTATTCATAGAGACACAGAGGGAGAAGCAGGCTCCACGCAGGAAGCCCGATGTGGGACTTGATCCCGGGTCTCCAGGATCACACCCCAGGCTGCAGGCAGTATTAAACCACCACGCCACCAGGGCTGCCCAACTGCACTGCTCTTAATTTGAGATAAAGTGAATGATTGGATTGTGGACACAGATGGGAGTTTAGGGAGTGATGTGAGGAAGGATCAGGTGCATGTCTATATATGCATACTTGGGAGTTAGAGTTTTCTTTGGGTAAGTCAGCACATAAAGGACTATAGTTGTAAAGTCTAACACATGGTTGCCATATAAATTTGCTCTTGTGGAAGGTAATTAAGTTACTAAAAATATCTGCATGTTTTTTGCTGTCAAAACGTTTTGACAAGATAGCTGTATAATGTACCTGCCAAACCCTAGTTCATGAATAAAAGGTGATGTAATTAACCAGCATAATGGGCGTAAACCTTGGCAAATTAAGCATGAAAGCATCGGACGTTGCAACTTTTTCTAAACCATGATTTATGTGACATTCAGAGCCTGAGAGAAAAAATAAGCACTTCACAGGTTTGGGTCAATTGGCCTAAAGATGTAGGAATAGGCTTTTTAGACTAAGATGTTCATATATCTAGTATCTGAGTACACTCCGCCTTAGGTGTTCTCTGTAAGGCTGAAGCTTAGAGTATGGGTAGGTCCTAGCACATATTTGGTAAGGTGGCTACCCTTCAGTCCTTCAAGATTCAAGGTGGAATTACTAGACCTAATCAGTGGTTCTCAACCAGAAGAGTTAAGAAATGTGTCCGGGCCATACAATATCCCAGACCAATTAAGTCCGATTTGGAGGTAGGATCCAGGCATCAGTACTTAAGATCCCTAGGAGATTCCAAGATGCAGCCAAGATTGAGAACCAAGGCTGTCTAGACTAGACCTATCTTGGCTTTAGGAATATTAAATCTGGAAGTCTTAAAACAGACCTGTTTTCCTACCCTATCCTCCAGCCTGGTGAATTTGAAGTCTTTAATGTGATATGAAGCCCCCAGGTCCTCCACTTAAAATTAATCCTTTTTATCCCTTTGTGTGAGCTCTATGTATTAAATTTCTCACCTTCCATGTTCTCCAGGTTTTTTGCAAATTTTAATAAAATGAACTCAAACTATAGACTTCATTTCCTATGATTCCAGATTTCTTAGGAATTTGTCAGTGGGACGCCCGAGTGGCTCAGTGGTTGAGCTCCTGTCTTTGGCTGGGGGCGTGATCCCAGATTCCTGGGATGAGTCCCACGTCGGACTTCCTGCATGGAGCCTGCTTCTCCCTCTGACTGTCTCTGCCTCTCTCTCTGTTTCTCATGAATAAATAAAATCTTTTAAAAAAGAAAAAAGGAATTTACTTGTCAGAGACATTAAATATGTTAAGTATTGAATTGCCAGAATGGGGTTTTTTGTATAGATATAAAGCAACCTTTTTCCAATTAATACATGTGCCTTTATATAATAGTGAATATAAGAGATTTCCCTAATCCTGTTGTCTAGTGTAAAATAACAGCACCTTACAGAGAAGCAGTTTGAATAAAGCACTTTGATGTGTAAAGCATCTATGTAAGGGTTTATTATTAAAGGGGAAATTTTTGGAAATAAGTAAAAATTGGGGTTCCTGGGTGACTTGGTTGGGCTTCTGCCTTCAGTTTGGTTCATGGTCCCAGGGTCCTGGGATCAACCCCCATGTCCAGCTCCCTGCTTGTGGAGAGCCTGCTGCTTTTCCCCACTTGTGCTCTCTTGCTATCTCTCTCAAATTCTTTCTTGAGTGTTTTAAGAAATAAATAATCACTTCATGGTTTGCTGTAGCTAGTCATATACACATAAAATTAGAGGAAAAAATATGGTACTTTGTCAACCTGCTGGGACTTTTTGCTTTTGGTGTTTTATTTAAAAGATTTTATTAGCATGGGGAGGGGGGCAGTACCAAGGGAGAAGCTGGTTCCCTTGCTTAGCAGGAAGCCTGCTGTGGGGCTAGATCCCAGGACCCCAGGATCATAACTTGAGCTGAAGGCAGACAACCTACTGAGCCACCCAGGCGCACCTGTTTGTTTTGTTTTTTGTTGTTGTTTTGTTTTTGTTTGTTTTGGTTTTTAAAAAAAATTTTTTACAAGGAGAAATGCTAGCGGATGAAAATAATTAGGTAAGTAGAAGTGCTTTAAGTGAACTTAGTGGAAGTCAGGAGTCCTGAATTCTGGTTCTGGATCTGCCACTAAATGGATTTAGGGAATATCCCAATGTTTCTGAGCTTCAAATTCCAGTTACGTAAAATGAGATTTGGAAGTAGGTGGTATCTGAACTCTTTCTGATCCATTCTGGGTACGAGCTTTTCAACGGAACCGAGTTTAGGAAATGTATATGGTAAGATGGAGGGTGGGGGCGGGGCGTTGCCCGACTGCGTTCACACCGCCCCAATTCCACAACACCCTTCGGATCTCCAATTCCTCTTGCCTGATCTCCTCTTAGTCATCCTTCACCTCAGAGAGCCTTGCGGGCAACTTACGCCACAGCCCTAGGAGCCTACCCTGTTGGATGGGACAACAGGGTTTGTGTGGCAGGAGTCTTTGACACCACCCCACGTAACAATGCTGCTAATGCGCAGGGGGCCCCCCGAGCTAGGGCCCTGCACTCCCACCAGAAAGGCCCTCGGAGGCTGCGGCGGTTGGGATGTCGCACTTGTGCGAGTGTCCTCTGCGGCTGGAGAAGAGCTTCATTTTGGATGGCGTGGCCGTGAGCACCATGTCCCGCGCCTCCGAGCGCGTGAGGCCCAAGCTCTGGTCGGCGATTCCGCCCTACAACGCTCAGCAGGACTGCCACGCCCGCCGGTACTTCCAGAGCCGCGTGGTTCCGCCGGTTCTGCGGAAGACTGAGCAGGTTATTAGAGGAGCACCCGGGACGACCCCACTGGCTGTCCCCGCAGAGCCTGACCCCGGGGGCGGGGCCGACTTCCGAAATCCCCGCCTCTTGCCACTAGGGAGAGCTCCCCACTCCGCCCCCACCCCCCACCCCCGGCTTTCTCCACGAAACCCCGGAACTGGCGGGGCCAGGTGACAGGTATCGAGCTCCCTGAGCTCAAGGAATCGCTCTCCACCCCTGAATTTGAGAACGAACTCATCTGGGGTTTCTGCAAGCTTGAGAGAAGGGTGGTGAAGCCCGCCTCCGGCAAACCGATCGGTTTCATTGTCCTTTTTGACGTCACGGACCCACACTTTGGGGTGATCTCACGCCACTGATTCTCCGAGTGCGAGAATCCTTGTGACTTCAGCGAAAGAGACAAAGCGACGCCTCGAGCCGCCAGGCGGGGCGCCCTCCTTTGGTGATGTCACGGTTACAGAGGGGCTCGCTCGGTGGGCCTACCTGTGAGGAGGTGGGAAATAACTTCCAAAACCTCCTCGGGCCTCACTACACCCCCCCCCCCCGCCCCGGGCCTTTGCCCTCGTGGATCCGAGATCCTGACGCTCTTTCAACACCCCCAACAAATATCGGAGGCCTTTTCAAGTCTCCAATATTTGGGTGCATATGTCACAGTGGCATGGGGAGGGGAGAGATGGTGTTGGTGCGGGTAATTCTGCGGACAAATCTAGGGGTTTATTTGTGGTCTCCGTGTTTGTGTGTGTGTACATGTGCCTGCGTGTGCACTGTGTGTGTATGGACACATCAGTGTGTGCCGTACTGGAGTGTGTACTGGCTATCTACCTGCATGATGTTTACAACAGAAGGATCCAGAGCTTGGGAGGAAAAAAAGAGAAAAACTTGAGTATTTAAAAGCTTGAAAAGAATATGGTGTGCACACTTTCAAAACTATGTTTCATTTTATAAGGATTTAATCATCACAACCGTTTGTAGTAGGTATGATTTTCATTTACATAAAGATAATGGGGGGTGTTTTGTTTTTTAGTAAATTGCTACCTAAGGTGGTGCTTGAGCTCACAACCCCAAGATCAAGAGTGGCATGGTCTGTGGACTGAGCTAGCCCTGTGAATAGGGGCGCTAGGGTGGCTCAGTTGGTTAAGCATCTGCCTTCAGCTCAGGTGGTGATTGTGGGGTCCTGGGATGAGCCCAGGTATCCTGGGATTGACTCAGGTCGTGATCCCAGGGCCCTAGGATCCAGCCCTGCCTTGGGCTCCCTGCTCAACAGGGAGTCGGCTTCTCCCTCCTCTGCTCCCCCTCCCCCTGCTCATTCTCTCTCTCTCTCTCTCTAATAATTAAAATCTTAAGCAAAAAAAAAATAGAAGAAGAAGAAGGTTTACTATGTCAGGCCCTTTATTTGAACTATCTCACTTAAATCCTACAGTCCTCCTTTCACTGATAAGAAAGCTGAGGTCCAGAAAAGCTGTGTCATTGGCCCAGGGTCACAGCTTGTTAGTGGCAGAGCTGGAATTGTAACCAGTCTGGCAGCAGACACTGAGCCTTTAACTATCCACCTATACTGCCTCTCCCTGAGAGACAATAGGCCCACATGTATATTTATATTTCATCTGTCCTGCCTGGTGACCCCTGGCTGTGACCTTGTCTCTCTCCCCCACAACTAGCCCAAAGGGACTTTACATGTGTACCCCTCAGCATGGTTGCTGACAGTCTTCTGTGTTTTCTCTCTGACTCTCAGGATCACGGTGGCACAGGAAGAGATGGCTGGATAGTGGACTATTTCCACATCTTCGGGCAAGGACAGAGATACCTGAACAGGAGAAATTGGGCAGGGGCAGGCAAGTGCCACCTGGCTTTCCAGCCTCAGTGTGAACCCACCTGGAAGAGTGGTGTGCATTCCCCAGTTTAGAGAGAGGAATCAGGCCCCAGAGAGCCCTGGTTTCCAGGGGATAAGAGTTCGGGGGTCAGAAGCCCTGGAACTGCATCACCAGCTTTTCTTCTCATACATGAGTGGATGGTGTCACCATGCTCCTGTTCAGTGACTAAGCACCTCTGTAGGTCAGGTGGTTTTTGCCTTCACACTACCCCTGTGCTAAGCTGGGCAAAGTGAAGTGTAGGGCGGTGAGGTGACTGGCCAAGGAGAGCTTAGCTTGAGATTGGAATTCCCCTCTTTCCGACTCTAGAACCCATGTTTCCCCTCCCTGCTCCCTGAACAGGCTGTGTCCTCCTTTCACAGGCCCAATTTTGCAACAGGAAAGGAAAGGTTGGGAGATGTTTTTCTGATGGTGTGAGCCCTCCCACCCCACAACCCCATCACCCTTTGGCCACACTCTAGTCTCGTGACCCTTGGCACCAGTGGGCGAAATCGAGCTCATCCATTTTCTCTATGTGGGTCAAAAGGAAGGGGGGAATATTTTTCAGTCTTCCTGGGAGCCAGGCAAGTGTAGCCAAGCCCCGAAGTTTCTGGCCCCTCCTGACTTAGCACATACCATTCACATTCCTCCTGTGTGCTACTCCTGGTATGTGGTTTGGTTTCTAGAAAGTTATCTCTCTCCTTGACTTCATCAATCCTTGGCTTTTAATCAAGAGGCTTGAGACATTTGAGGATTGAGGGTTCAGCTGGGACATGGGGAGCACATTCTCTACCAGCCCTGTGGGAGCAGGGGGCAGGGGTGGGGAGCAAGATGGAGCTGAATGCAGGCTGAGGCCTCTCTCCTTTGCCCCAAAGGGCATTCCTTCCAGCAGGTGACTGGGCATGATTACTACAATGCAGAACTGAGGATGATCAGGGGGTTCAATGGTCGATTTGGCTACCGCCGAAACACCCCAGCCCTCCGCCAGCGCCCGTCGGTCTTTGGAGAGGTCACCCAGTTCCCCCTCTTCTAACAGCATCTTTACCTTTCCTACTCCTGGACCTGAAAAGAAGACAGATGTTTAGATGAACTTTTTAATGCTATTTTTATATAAACGATGATGTTAATTTGTGCCTGCAAGTGTGCTTGCTGTTTCTTTGCTGAGATTGGGAGGGGGCAGGCTGGTTTCCCCACCCTGAACTCCTCTAGCCCGACGACGAGGTGGGAGGAGAGAGAGTGTTGTCAGGCCTGTGCCCTTGTACTCCATGCCCCGGAGTGTGAGGCTTGAACAGAGGCCTCAGATCTCCCCTGCTCACGGCAGAAGGAGGAACACCTCACCCTACACAAAGCTTTGCCCCAGGCAGCAAGCAGAGCCCCAGGCTAGAAGCTGGCTACTACCATTTTCCCATCAAGAATGGACAGGCAGTTCGTCCAAAGAGATAGTGATTGGTTGCCTGTGATTTTCCTGAGAGTCATCCCATCCAACATAACTGACATCTTCCTTCTCCTTTCCACCCTCAGTGCATCAAGAGTCCGGGGGTGAGCAAGGGGATATCTGGAACTGCTTTTTAGCCTCTAGATTCTGACATGGTAATTCTGGCACAGTGCTCGTGGACACTTTGTCTGCTGATGTGCTATCAATTTCCTTTTCAGCTAGTTTCCAGGATGTCGTTTTTCAAGTGTCCCCACCCAGTTTATTGGTGGCCAAGAGAAAAGCCAAAGCAGATGATGGATACAAGAAGGTGGAGCTTTAGAACACAAAGCTTGCCAGAGCTTGAGTGTGGGTGGAATCTGATGGCACTGAGTCACCATAAGTGGACAAGGAAGAGAAGGACACTAGGTCATGGGGGTATAGCTCAGGGGTAGAGCATTTGACTGCAGATCAAGAGGTCCCCGGTTCAAATCCGGGTGCCCCCTTCCTCCTCCCTTTTCTTTACTTCCACTAAATGGAAGCAAGTAAATGCACTGTACTACTTAACTCCCAGCCAGGATTACTAGAGAGGATAAGGATCTCTTGACTCATCTGTGTACTGAAATGATCCTAGTTCCCCCTACATTCCAAATGACACTTAGCTGAGACCACCAGAGGATCCCATTGGGCTTCAATTAAAACAAAGGCCCTACGGAGATTCTAAATCTAAAATTAGGTGTGAGAGGGATGTCTGGGTGGATCTGTCAATTAAGTGTCTGACTTTTTTTTTTTTTAAAGACTTTTATTTCTTTATTCATGAGAGACACAGCAAGAGAGAGGCAGAGACATAGGCTGAGGGAGAAGCAAGCTCCATGCAGGGAGGCTGATATGGGATTCGATTCCGGATCCCAGGATCACACCCTCGGCCAAAAGCAGATGCTCAACCACTGAGCCACCCAGGCCTCCCAAGTGTCTGACTCTTGGTTTTCCCCTCTGGTGATGATCTCAGGGTTGTGAGATGGAGCCTTGCATCAGGCTCTGCTCAGTGTGGAATCTGCTTGTGATTCTCTCTCCCTCTCCCTCTGCCCCTTCCCCCACTCTATCTTTCTTACTAAAATAAAATAAATCTTTAAAATTAGGTGTGAGAGCTGTGAACACAAGTTTAGCAATCTGATGTATGAGAGAACAGATAAAGAGGTTCATACAACATGTATTTTTGAGAGCTTAGTATAGTACATGCAAAGCAGCTGTGAATTAAAACATGAAATGGGTCGCCTGGGTGGTTCAGTTGGTTAAGCGTCTGCCTTGTGTTCAGGTCACGATCTCAGGTTCCTGGGACTGAGACCTGCATCAGGCTCCCTGCTCAGGCTGCCTGCTTCTCCCTCGGCATCTACCCCTCTCCCTGCTCATTCTCTCTCTCTCTCTCTCTCTCTCTCAAATAAATAAAATCTTTAAAAAATAATAATACATGAAACAGGGTCTCTGACCCCAGGGAATTTCGTGTCTGCTGGAACTTGAAATATTCATACACAGCTGTCAAAGGGAGACATTTGTTGGTAGCTCCAGGAAGACATACCTTTTAAAAATACCTACCCACCTTTTCTAGACTAACTTCTAACTGAATCTTTCCTACAATTGGAAGGAACATTTCTGTCTGATCTGAAAAGCTTATTAACACATTTCCAACACTGTGCAAATCCCTCTCTCGAAGGTTAGGGGCACTTTCCTCTTACCCATGTATTCTGCTAGTCAGAGTTCTTGGAATGGAACAGATACCCACTCTGCCCTCTAAAAGCAGGAAAGGAGGTATGGTGGGGACTCACAGAATTGAAGAAGATTGGAGAACCTAACTCACAAAGCAGTTAACTAAGAAGAATGGCAGAGGAAGGAAATCCAGCTCAGGTCTCATCTCAGGAAGTGTCCACTGTGGGAGCCACCCACTCAGGGCACTCATCACTAAGTCGTGGGTACTGTTCTAGCTGCACCTGCATTCCCAGGACAATTCCTCCCCTTTTACACGGCCAGGTGGAAGCAGTTGATTGGCCGAGTTATGTTCTGACGTGCGTGCGTGTGTGTGTGCAGTTTTCCACCAGGAGTGGGAGAAGGTAGTGTTGCTTCACCGAGTTTGACCACGTGAGGTACTCCCTGAGAATTGGAGGGGTGTTTGGGAGCAAAAATTTCCAGTTCTAGCTGTCGAGGATTTTCCCTCTCACACCCTTTGACTTCTCATTTGCTGAAATTAGGTCAAAATTTTGTATTAAATCACTTATGTTCACATTATCATGATCATGTCAATACTATTTAGTATTGAGTCTATATATACTACAAACAGCATTGATTTCTTTTTTTTAATTTAAATTCAATTAGGGGGCCCTGGGTGCTCAGTGGTTGAGCCTCTGCCTTCAGCTCAGGGCATGATCCTAGGGTCCTCGGATTGAATCCCATATTGGGCTCCCCGTAGGGAGCCTGCTTCTCCCTCTGCCTGTGTCTCTGTCTCTCTCTGTGTGTCTCTAAATAAATAAAATCTTTTAAAAAATTAAAAAAATTAATTCAATTACTTAACATACAATTTATCACCCAGTTACCCCAGACCCCACCCCTTCCTACAACTGATTTCTTGAAAACTTTTTTCTCTTGAAGATAATTATCTCATTTTTTATTTTTTTTTAATTTTTAAAATTTATTTATGATAGTCACACACACACAGAGAGAGAGGCAGAAACACAGGAAGAGGGAGAAGCAGGTTCCATGCACTGGGAGCCTGACGTGGGACCCGATCCCGGGTCTCCAGGACCGCGCCCTGGGCCAAAGGCAGGTGCTAAACTGCTGCGCCACCCAGGGATCCCTCATTTTTTCTTTTTTAAAGATTTTATTTATTTATTCATGAGAGAGACAGAGAGAGAGAGAGAGAGAGAGAGAGAGAGAGGCAGAGGGAGAAGCAGGCTCTTTGCAGGGAACCTGATGTGGGACTCCATCCCAGGACTCCAGGATCACATCGTGATACAAAGGCAGGCACCAAACCTCTGAGCTACCCAGGCATCCCTCATTTTTTCATTTGCATGTTTTTATTTCTATTAGAGCCTTCAACAGCCTCACAGTACAATTATTCACTTGGTCCAAACCTATCAAATTAATTTTTTTCAAGACAGTCTTCCTGACACCCTCCATCCCTCTGCTTTCAGGCAGACTGTTTAGACATGTCACCCACCTGGTGCCTGGGGAATTCGCCTTCCCTGTCCTCTGTGGGATTCTCAGTCTCCTGAGCAACGCCTTCCTTTTTCTAGTTTCCTTCTTTATATGGTGGAGAATAACCCTGAGCAGCTTCCTGAGGAAAAAAAAAATATATGCCAGGTAAGATGCTTGAGTTCGGGCATACCCGAAAATAAATTTTGTCTGAACAGTTGAGAGATAACTTTGAGAACATAATTTTTGCTGAGGATTTTGCTTTCAGAACTTTGAAAATCCTTGTATTCTAGCTTCTCTTGGTAAGTTCAATGTCCTTATTCCCATATGTGACCTGTTTCTGTAAAATCTTAGGCTCTCTGTTCTTGATGTTCTGGTTTTTCCATGATCTATTCCATGATCTCTTTCAATCTAGAGATTCATATCCTACCTTAAGCCTTATTATGTCTGATAATTTCTTCTCCATCATTTGCTAATGGGAGGACTTATCTGTTCTTGTCTCCTGTTCATTTGTCTTTTTGTTTTACTTTCTAGGAGATTTCCTGGTGCTATATTTCAACTTTTTTTTTGTTGGCTTTTGAGTTTCAGTTTTCTCATGTGCCCCAACTGCATTTTTTTTTTTGTCATGACATCCTATTCTAGTTTTAGTGATACTATTTTTTCCTCTTGTTTCTTTAAAATTATGGTGGCGGAGAAGGACAAACAGTGTATGTTCTCATTCATTTGGGGAATATGAATAATAGTGAAAGGGAATATAAGGGAAGGGAGAAGAAATGTGTGGGAAATATCAGAAAGGGAGACAGAGCATGAAGACTTCTAACTCTGGAAAATGAACTAGGGGTGGTGGAAGGGGAGAAGGGCAGGGGGTGGGGGTGGGTGGGTGACGGGCACTGAGGGGACACTTGACGGGATGAGCACTGGGTGTTATTCTGTATGTTGGTAAATTGAACACCAATAAAAATTAATTTATTAAAAAAAATAAAATAAAATTATGGTGGTTTCTGAAGTGTTCTTCTCCAAGGATTGCCTTTTCCCCTTCTTTTTTGCTGCTGTTTCCTTTGTTTTTAGACGCTAGTGTTGAGGGCATTCACCAAACAACTGGCCCTCCAATAGGTTAAAGGTCATTGGAAGCTCTGTTCTGGGGTAGGGCTTGTTGATTGGTGGATTTCTTTGTGGGTTCTCCAACAGTGAGCCAGCCTTTTCATTTGGGAACTTCCAAATGTGGGTCAACATTCTCCCTGACTCCTCAAGCTATTTAGTTTCTCCATAGAAGAATTCTGAGATCTGGGGTACCTGGAAGGCTCAGTGGTTGAGCATCTGCCTTTAGCTCAGGGAGTGATCCCAGGGTTCTGGGATCAAGTCCTGCACTGGGCTCCCAGCAGGGAGCCTGCTTCTCCCTCTGCCTACGTCTCTGCCTTCCTCTCTGTGTCTCTCATGAATAAATTAAAAAAAAAAT